TTGTTATGTAAAACACTATCATGTGTGATATCTTGCATGCAAGAGCATCCTGGTTGTGGTTTAGTTGGACCCACGTGCACCAACACAGAGGCAGAGGTGTAATGATTAAACAAAGCCCAGGTAAAGCAAATTGGTTGTACACGAGTTCTTTCCTGGTTGGGACTTAGCATCTTGTAGCTACAGAAGCACAAATTGTATTCAATATTGTTCCACAGTGGAGCTTTTGTTGTCAACGATGGAAAACATTCTCACACTTTCTCTCTGATATCTCTGCTCTGGTGGGGTCCCTTCCAACATGACAAACAAAAATAGCGTATGTTTTCTTCCGTTTTTCTAAAGCTGCCAGAATTGCTGAACAGTACCCCCAGTCGCTAGGCTAGAGCAAAGAACTGGTATATAAGGAGACCTCAAGCACAGTCTCTCACAGAAACAAATCAACTTTGGAGGTGAAAGAACTCTCTAATTCAAACCGGCAATAAGCAGAGGTGAAAACATCGAGAAATCAATATGAAGGTGACCATGTCGATTGCTGTGGGCACTTTTGTGGTGCTGTTTCTACAGTTGGAAACTCCAATGGCCCAGCTGCAGATTGAGTCGGTACTGCTAATTCTTCTTATACCTATGTCTCATTTACATGTCCCAACTCCTCGTTTAGTCTTGTTCTCGACCAACATGTCGCAGTGGAGCATGGCCAGACAGATTGTGCCGGTGTAACGGTTATGTCGATTCGACCTGCCCTGCTGGTTTCAACGCAGTTCAAAATGACCACGGACACTGCTCCTGCGAAAGTAGGATTCAGCCAACATGTAAACGCGGCTTTTCGCTGCTGAATACACGCGTTTGTAAGTGTACAATCAGGAAGCCGCCAACCTGTCCGGCAGGCAGCTCCCTGTCCCCCAGTACTGCACTTTGTATAGGAGAGCACGAGCCATACTGCCAAAGAGGTTATCTATTGCACGGATGCAAATGCGTCAAGGAATATGTACGACAGTGCTCTTCCGGAACACTGAGTAATGATGGGTGCATGTGTTCAAGCACATCCACTCCAACATGTTCCAGAGGATGCCGTCTCAGCGTTATTGGTGGCTGTAATTGCAAAAGTAAGACTAGCCAATACATTATTATGACAGGCATACAATCTCTCCTGATTTACGTATGTAGGTGAAATAAAGTGTTTTGACGGTCTGTACTGCTCTGGATGGGGCAGAACTGTGAACAGTGTTAATCAATGTTGTAGAATTGGGATACAAGGCCCCACCCCCATTGGGATAGATGACCCCAACCCCGTTGGGATAGCTCCGGGTGCAGAAATTTCGTCCATCAGCCATTCTTATCGCATAGGGAATGGGCCTTGTACTCGTTGGTAAGTATAGAAAATTACTCCAGCAATGTAATTCATGATCTGTTGATTATTTGTTGTCTACAGTTTTCACTGAGAGGAAAGAACCAAGCTTTTCGCCTTTTCAACCAGTATTCAAACTTTAAAGTAGCTAGTGTATTAAGAGCATTCAATGCAGTAGGTTTATGAACAGGTTGTCAATGAGCAATATAATTATTATAACATTGTGTAATACATTTTCATACTATATTTGATTTGACGCTCTGTGCACATTTGTAATACGAGGCGACAACTTACCTAATGCCTTTTGAGCATGTACACACATGCATGTGCTGAAAAGATTCTACTGCATTAAGTATTAGATACACTACACTGTGCGGATATGCTACAGACAACTGTACACATACACAAGTCTGGGAAGATTTACAGAGAGGAAGAAGATACACACTCAAGTTCTTGCCAGGTCACATTGGGTGGTTTTGAAGAGTGGAGCTTCAAGAACTAACTGTATTTTCCCTGACCTGCAGCAACCAAGGCTACTGATCCCGACTGTCCACCTGGGTCTGTTCTGGAGGGCTGTAGGTGCGTCGAGAAGGTCCAACGCGAATGCTCTTCTGGAGAACTGAGCAGTGATAAGTGTACGTGTACTGACTCTCCTGGTTGCCCACTCTGCCTAGGACGATGTGAACTAAACTCTGGTGGTTGCAGCTGTGATGAAGGTAGGCAAGACATGTGTTGAGTATCATATGTAGTGTATGAGTGTGCTCCATTTAGAATCACGCCCTGACAGTGGGTTTCTCCTCTGCTACACCCAAGGGAGCTGCTCTGGGCCTATTACTCTTGCATCTAATTTCAGAGATTATTGCAGTAGAGGATTTCTAGCATCGTACCGCATTGGAAATGATGGTCCTTGTGTTTCCTGGTAAGTGTATAATTATGTATTATGCCTATCTGTGGAGAGTGTTGACTGATGCGGCTTTTTTCAGCCTTCAGCCGATTGGGAAATGAAGTAACAGCATATCTGAACAAGAAAATGGTCAAAACTGGATGTACTCAGTAGCATAATAATGTTAGGAGTACACTCGTTAATACAAGTAAATTAAAAATCCTGCGAATTTAAAAAAAGAGGCATATAGGGATGGTATAAAAAGAAAGGGAGACAAAATAGGGATGGGATACATGAAGCATGGCTAATGAACAGATTTGAGTACGCTGACACCCCCAACCCCATCACACAATCCCTATACTGTTGCCTGGTGTGCTACTCTTATAGGGGCTAAATGTTACTAAAGCAAGCATTCTTTCACCGTGTCCCTGTTGTTTTTAGTAACATATATACTGCCACATTCCCTTTAATTAAACTCCACTTGGACTCTATAAGGGTGTTGGTGTATTGTAAGTTCTGATGGTGAATGTTTAATACTTCACGTAGGCAACAATATAGGGATTGTGTGATGGGGTGGGGGGTGTCAGCGTACTCAAATCTGTTCATTAACCATGCTTCATGTATCCCATCCCTATCTTGTCTCCCTTTCTTTTTATACCATCCCTATATGCCTCTTTTTTTAAATTCGCAGGATTTTAATTTACTTGTCTCCACTCATTTTTATAGCTACTACTACGTATTATCTCTGTGGAAGGGGTAGCCCCTATAAAAATTAATAATAGAGAATAAAGGCCTGTTGTCATCATGGAAATGATTGCATACCATGTTTCATCTGAAGAGTGAAGAAGTAATTTTAAAGAAAAGTGCCTGAGGCTATTTGTTGTTGTGGTCGTCATGGAAACGATGTTACACACATGCGTACCAAGTTTCATTTCCATGTGAGGTACCGTTAGCGAGTTTGAGGAGTGAAGAAGTAATTTTAAAGAAAAGTGCCTGAGGCTATTTGTTGTTGTGGTCGTCATGGAAACGATGTAAGACACATGCGCACCAACTTTTACCTCCATGCGTGCTACAATTAGCAAGTCTGAGGAGTGAAGAAGTAATTTAAAGAAAATTGCCTGAGGCCTTTTCAAACAATATGCGGTCGTCATGGAAACATGTAATCATCATGGAAATTTTATAGTAGGCATACGTACCAAGTTTCATCTCTATGCGTGCTACCATTGGAAAGTTAGAGAAGAAAAGTGCCTGAGGCTATTTGTTGTTATTTACAAACATGTATTGTTGCGATTTTGATGTTTGCTATTGATTACATTGTGTATACAAACTTTCGCTCACATAACTCTTACCAATTGTGAGTTACACTGACGCATAGAGTATGACCATTATTGCCCATTATAATGTATTGCCTGGGGCATTGTTTACAAACAAAAAGTATGACGTTGCACTGTGGTTATCGATATGTACATTCCTAAAAAATTTCATGGCTTTATCTCTTTCGGTTTTTGAGTTATGCTGGTTGAAGAAGAAGAAGAAGAAGAAGAAGGAGAAGAAGATGAACAAAACTCCCTATCATAGCCCCATACATCTATGATGCTAGGTATAAAAAAATACCATGCCAATCCCTATATACTAAGTACTACCGTACTTAGTGATATGTATAGGTTAGACTGCGGTAACACGCAATTGACCAATCAGATTTCGAGTTTAGCTTCCGCGGTAACTAGAGAAAGCGTACAGGGAAAAACGCGTACAAACGGCCGGCCGGCGCGAGCAGCAACGCCTACAACGGACACTTCAGCGGAACGGACTTGCGCTGTAGTCTAAGCCGGTTAGACGCGTCGCCTTGGGAAACTACGTGATTTAGTGAGCCTCGGAGCCCTTAGTAGCGCCCTCGCTGCGCGCGGGACGCCGACAGCTCAGGGCTCCTCGGCTCACTAAATCGCGTAGTTCCCGAAGCTCAGCGTCTAAGTATAGGTTAGACGCTGAGCCGCGGGAACTACGCTGCAGTGTCCGTTGTAGGCGTTGCTGCCCTTCGGGATCGCGCCGCCCGGCCGTTTGTACGCGTTTTTTCCTGTACGCTTGCTCTAGCGTCTTCCTAGCTCTCTAGTAGTCATGCGCTGCTGCTAGAAGAGCCTGTTCCTGGTTTATTCGTGGGAAGAACCGCTCCAGAAGCTCGGTTCACCGTCCGCGCGCGTGGCGTCTTTTCGACGTGGTTGCCGGGGCTACGAATAGTTACCGCGGAAGAGGTCACTAACAAAATTAGTCACCGCTAAACTCGCAATCTGATTGGTCAATTGCGTGTTACCGTAGTCTAACCTATACTTATACTGCGCGTCAATGGAAATACGCGATTTAGACGGCACGGCTCCGAGGGCGTCTAAATCGTGTATTTCCAGTGACAAGCAGTATAACCTGTTTAGACCGACGTGGCAATGTTTTGTTGTTATGTAACACACTATCATATGACTGAAACCTTGTATGCAAGAACATCCTGGTTGTGGTTTAGTTTGACACACTTGCACCAACATAGAGGCAGAGGTGTAATGATTCAACAAAGCCCCTGTAGAGCAAATTGGTTGTACACGAGTTCTTTCCTGGTTGGGACTTAGCATCTTGTAGCTACAGAAGCACAAATTGTATTCAATATTGTTCCACAGTGGAGCTTTTGTTGTCAACGATGGAAAACATTCTCACACTTTCTCTCTGATATCTCTGCTCTGGTGGGGTCCCTTCCAACATGACAAACAAAAATAGCGTATGTTTTCTTCCGTTTTTCTAAAGCTGCCAGAATTGCTGAACAGTACCCCCAGTCGCTAGGCTAGAGCAAAGAACTGGTATATAAGGAGACCTCAAGCACAGTCTCTCACAGAAACAAATCAACTTTGGAGGTGAAAGAACTCTCTAATTCAAACCGGCAATAAGCAGAGGTGAAAACATCGAGAAATCAATATGAAGGTGACCATGTCGATTGCTGTGGGCACTTTTGTGGTGCTGTTTCTACAGTTGGGAAACTCCAATGGCCCAGCCGCAGATTCAGCCGGTACTGCTAATTTTTCACAATGTCTCATTTACATGCTCTAACTCCTCATTTAGTTTGTCCCCAACCAACATGTCATGATGGAGACACGCTGGACAGATCGTGCCGGTGTAATGGTTATGTCGATTCGACCTGCCCTGCTGGTTTCGACGCAGTTCAAAATGGTCACGAACACTGCTCCTGCGAAAGTAGGATTCAGCCAACATGTAAATCTGGCTTTTCGCTGGATACACGCACTTGTAAGTGTACAATCAAGAAGTCGCCAATCTGTCCAGCAGGCAGCTCCCTGTCCCCCAGTACTGCACTTTGTATAGGAGAGCACGAGCCATACTCTGCCCAAGAGGTTATGTAAAGCACGGATGCAAATGTGTCAAGGAATATGTACGACAGTGCTCTTCCGGAACACTGAGTAATGATGGGTGCATGTGTTCAAGCACATAGCTACACTCCAACATGTTCCAGGGGATGCCGTCTCGACGTTTTCGGTGGCTGTATTTGCAACAGTAACAGTAAGATTAGCCAATATATTATTATGACAGGCATACAATCTCTCCTGATTTACGCAGGGGGCATCAAGTGTTTTAACGGTCTGTACTGCTCTGGATTTGGCACAATTGTGACCAGTGTTTTGGAATGTTGTAATGGGCAAATTGGAAACAGCCATTCTTATCGCATAGGAGATGGGCCTTGTACTCAATGGTAAGCATAGAAAATTACTCCAGCAATGTCATTCGTGAACTGTTGATTATTTGTCATCTACAGTTCTCACTGAGAGGAAGGAATCAAGCTTTTTGCCTTTTCAACCAGTATTCAAACTTTAAAGTAGCTAGGGTATTAAGAGCATTCAGTGTAGTAGGTTTATGAACAGGTTGTCAATGAGCAATATAATTATTATTATAACATTGTGTAATACATTTTCATACTATATTTCATTTGACGCTCTGTGCACATTTGTAATACGAGGCGACAACTTACCTAATGACTTTTGAGCATGTACACACATGCATGTGCTGAAAAGACTCTACTGCATTAAGTATTAGATACACTACACTGGGCGGATATGCTACAGACAACTGTACACATACACAAGTCTGGGAAGATTTACAGAGAGGAAGAAGATACACACTCAAGTTCTTGCCAGGTCACATTGGGTGGTTTTGAAGGCTTTGTTGATGGTAAGATCGGAGCTTCAAGAACTGACCGTATTTCCTCTGACCTGTAGCAGCCAAGGCCAGTGGTGGATTCAAAATGCTTCTCTTACACAGCATACAACCAAATTTGGTTTTGCACTGCTGACTCAATGCTGGCAAAAGAGCAGCGTAGTAAAGAAAGAGGATCAGCTATAAAAGAGCCATCATGTTCCCCACAATCATCTTCAGAATCGAGTTATACAGCAAGAGTGAGAGAGTCATAACACAAAAGGCGACCATGAAGATAACATGGACATGTGCTACGTTCACCATTGCAATACTCTTGCAACAGCTTGAGACACCCCTGGCTTTTGGGCTTGTGAGTACAGAGATTTAAATCTTCTTGCGATTCATGTGCGTTCTGTTTCTTTAGGCACCGTTTTGTTTATCCCGTATTCCAACGTGTCTCGCTGGATCTCTGGACACAGAAGCATGTCAGTGTAACAGAGAGAGTGACTCAACCTGTCCATCTGGTTTCACTTCCTCCCCTAACTCTCCCAACTTGTGTTTTTGTGAGAGGAGGACCCAGCCCTTTTGCGACATTCTATCCAAGCTGAACACTGCTACGTGCAGATGTGAGGTTTTCCCCAAACCTGTTTGTGTCCGTGCACCCTGCGACTTCCACACTACTGATCCCAGCTGTCCACATGGGTCTGTTTGGGAGGGCTGTAGGTGCGTTGAGAAGGCCCAATGCGAATGCTCTTCTGGAGAACTGAGCAGTGATAAGTGTACGTGTACTGACTCTCCTGGTCGCCCACTCTGCCGAGGACACAGATGTGAACTCAACTCTGATGGTTGCAGCTGTGATGAGGGTAGGCAAGACATGTGTTGAGTATCATACGTAGTGTATGAGTGTGCTCCATTTAGAATCGCGCCCTGACAGTGGGTTTCTCCTCTGCTACACCCAAGGGAGCTGCTCTGGGCCTATTACTCTTGCATCTAATTTCAGAGATTGTTGCAGTAGAGGATTTCTAGCATCGTACCGCATTGGAAATGATGGTCCTTGTGTTTCCTGGTAAGTGTATAATTATGTACAAGTATTATGCCTATCTGTGGAGATGGTTAACTGATGCGGCTTTTTTCAGCTTTCAGCCAATTGGGAAATGAAGTAACAGTATATCTGAACAAGAAAGTGGTCAAAACTGGATGAACTCAGTAGCATAATAATGTTAAGAGTACACTCGTTAATACATGGTAGAAAGCAACATTGCATAATGACCTGCATAATATATCAGAAGATCTTTCCCAAATACATCGATAGTGCCACAACCCTGCAAGTGGTTAAGTTTATGGCTCCAAGCACAAGACAGACTCCGTACAATTCACTAGAGCATGTCTCCATAGCAAACAGGGTGCCAGCAGAGAGAAGCTAACACTCTTAGATTCACATGACACATGTCATCTCATGCACAAGGTATGCATGCTGCCATAGAAGAACCATAAGTGCTGCAAGGTTTGTTTCTGAAACAGCCAGAGCATTAGAACGAAAGGAACAGCTGCAAAGAAAACAAAAGCAAAATGGCCAATATCCAATGGCTAAATACAAGTGTGCAAGAATCAGCTGCTGTCAGTATGACAATTTACACACATGTACATACTTTTTTTCTTTTTCTTTTTTTGCCTTATTGTTTGCATATTATAACTGAAACTATGGCCACATTGGCTGATGTATCCCTCTTGGGCTCGAACCTCTCCTGCAGGGCTCTTGTAGCGGCATCATAAGAGGCCTGACTTTCTCCTGGTAGGCGGTGGAACGCCTTGCTGCGCTCGACCAGTTAGGCGGACACGTAGCCACTTGAGTTTCTGTCCAGCATTCCATTCGTTGACTGCGGCTAACGTCCTCGAAATGGAGCTTCCAATCACCCCAAGACGATTTCCCATCGTAGGGCTCGGGCAACACCACCGGTTTCGTTGCCATCCAGGTAATCCTGCCGACTACGCCAATTTTAGCGTGGCCTTCTCTCGCAGTTAACTGACAGGGGTTCTGCTCAGAATTATTATGGAAGCTGCGCAACGATAATGCATGGTGGCTTTTATAAGATAGAGCTAGGTGCGGATCAGGGCTGTGGTGTAGTGGTTACAAGACAACGAGTGTGTTTGTGACAGTAAAACATGACAGTGGTTGCGAAGATGTGGACAACCTGTGCCAGAGTTCTTACACACGTATGATATTATCCACCATACAGATAATGGACAGGGCGGCCGAGGTAGGGGCTCCAGTGATAGGTCTCAACACCTCTGGTGGAGCCAGGATCCAAGAGGGTGTGGATTCCCTCGCGGGATATGCTGACATCTTCCTGGTGAGATTTTAGCCTAAAGCTAGCCATTTTCTGTGGTGAAAATATGGAGTACATATATAGCACTTTTTAGAGCGTTATTTGAAGACCTTTGCTAGTGCATGTTGGAGCTTATGCACATCGTTAGGGAGCATTGATATTGGGTAAATGGACTGAACTCCCATGATTTTTGTGTAGTAAAAGCAACAAACAGAATAGATTTAGCACTGTGTTTTTTTCCTCAGAGGAATGTCATGTTCTCAGGCGTGATTCCCCAGCTCTCCCTCGTCATGGGTCCTTGTGCCGGTCAGCCACACTTTCACTTTCAAACAGTCCTTTTCCCTACGTGGGTCTCATCTCCTATTAACTCTGTACTCTGACCTCAGGTGGAGCTGTCTACTCTCCAGCCATGACTGACTTCACCTTCATGGTGAAGGTATATAAACCACACCCACCATTTCACTTCCGTCTATTATCTACCACCCAACCGGGCAACTCTTTCACTTTAGAACACCTCCTACATGTTTGTGACTGGACCAAAGGTAGTCGAGGTGAGCAGCCCACCCACACTCCATGCATCTACGTACTTTAAACCCTTGAATCCTTTTCAGGAGTAATAGTATGGGGCCGAACCAATTGAGGTTCATTCGTATTCATAGCGGTTGTCTTGAGCTCCTTGAAATATGAAATTTCGTACTTGCTTCCCTTGACAAATTCATAAATAATACTAGTCACCTTCTGTGGGAGAGATAGTCCCTTGACCTGATAGGATCCTCTCCTATTCTCATATTACGGACCCCCTTCCCCGTCTCTCTCTCTCTCTCTCTCTCTCTCTCTCTCTCTCGTGCAGAGACAGAGAAGTTCCAGGGCTGGACTACATAGTCCCCCACTCTTCAGACCAACCTTATGACATGTTGGACATAGTGAGACAGGTCAGCTTAACTAGTATATCTCTCTATGTGCAACTTTGTTGCTTGAGACAAAGTTGCATACAACTTCAAATGTAGGGTGGCACACAGCATGTTGCATATGTTAGAAATGGCCTATCATACCCATACATTCGCAACTGCACAATGCAACTTTGTCTCACGTAACAAAGATGCATCGTGTATCATGGCGTTCAAAATTAACATGCACAGAAATTACACATGCCAGGGTAGCTTAATACAAGTGGATCTCTGGTTAAACTGCTCACGCTAGCTCGCTGAAAACGCGTGGCATTCATTCTAGTATTATCGTTGTGCAGGTTGTGGACGAGGGTAACTTCTTTGAGATAATGCCAGACTATGCCAGGAACATAATAGTGGGGTTTGCCAGGTTCAATGGGAGGTCGGTGGGCATTGTAGGCAACCAGCCCAACCAGAAGGCAGGTACGTATATATGATGTCATAGTGTGTATAGCAATGTAGGCAAGGAGTAAGACAAACATCACATTAGTGTTACCACATCCCATCTTTGGTTCCAAAGACAGGGTTTTTAAATAAATGCAGCCCCTATGAGATATAATTTATGCTGTTGTAGAGTATACTATTCCATAGTCCAACTGTAGCCAAAGCATAAATGGTAGTTGGTTTGTCTTTACTTCAATTCATGTGCCTACAGAAAATGCAAAATAATTGACACCCTTAATGGTAGTGCGCGGTTGCACCAAAGTTGGGGCGTGTAAGGATTAGTAAAGTGAGATAGGAATAGGTGCAGCGAAATACAATATACTATTCCGTAGTTCAACTATTGTAAAAACATTAAGGGTAGTTGGTTTGTCTCTACTCCTTTTCCTGTGCCTACAAAAAATGCAAAATAATTGACATCCACCCGTCTTCAATATTGAAGTGGCATGGGATTTGTCTCAAGTTGAACAAGTTGAGTTGTATTTTCAGAGAGTAAAAAGAGTTTGAAAAACACACACAATGCGGTACTTGCCCCTCTTAGGCTGTCTGGACATTCTGTCATCAATAAAGGGTGCCAGATTCGTTCGATTCTGCGATGCTTTTGGGATACCTCTCGTGACTTTTGAGGACGTCCCTGGATTCCTCCCTGGTAGGATAATGTCATGTGATTATCATGCCTGCATCATGTGATAGTCATGTGACTGTAGGTACACATGAGGAGTATAACGGGATCATTAGAAATGGAGCAAAACTACTATTTGCTTATGCTGAAGCCACGGTCCCGAAAATCACAGTCATCACTCGAAAGGTATGTTCATCATGTGATGTGTCAAGTGATGTCATGTGACCTGCAGGCCTATGGAGGGGCCTATGATGTGATGAGTTCCAAGCATCTCCGTGGTGATATTAATTACGCTTGGCCGACTGCCGAGATTGCTGTAATGGGTGCAAAGGTCAGTATCACAATGATAACGGCCGTGATTTAACCTTTTGTTCACTACAGGGAGCTGTTGCTATATTGCACAGAGATAAAAGTCCTGAAGGTACATACATTACCACAATCCATTTACCGGTTAAAAACAAGTCTCCTTTATAAAGAGGTGTGCTTTATTTAGAATGCCACTGTGCTAATTCCACAGATCATCCAGCCCTTCAGGACGAGTACGAGCGAACCCTCTGCACCCCATTCCAAGCGGCAGCGAGAGGATTTATCGATGACATCATCCTCCCTCGTGAGACGAGACTGAGAATCTGTGAGGACCTTGAACTCTTGGCCACAAAGAAGCAGGACATGCCATGGAAGAAACATGGCAACATCCCTCTCTGAAACTTGCTTTTTGTTAGTCAAATGTGCATTATAGTAGTTGCAGATGCGGCATTCATACCTTTCAAGATTTTGAGATAAAACTATGATTATTGGCTGGCGAAGCAAACCTATTCCTCTGAATGCGCAATTTCCTATAATACTAACGTCCCTGCACTCGCAACAACAGTTTGATTTACTCAGGGAGACGGTGTGCCTGACATACAAGCAAGTCTCATGATAGTTTTCTCTCGTTCTCTCTCAGTACATATATGTGCGCAGAATACACAAACCCCAAATTATTATACTAGGTTAGATAAGGGTTAACTAGGTTACAAGTGGAAAGGTCTGTGTACTCTCAACTGGTCAGCTGGAAAAGATGCAACACGAAACGTGGTCACGGAGCTCTGCTTCTAACATCAACATCTGCACAGATTTCCTTCCCTCCATATCAAAAACACGAACACTATTTTTTACATGAGCACCCACAAGAAGACAAGTGTTGTTTATACGTGCTGTAGCACAGTGGTTTCAGGTTTGCATTGTCGTGTGTGTAAGGGTCTCGTGGTTCGATTCCCACAGCTCCTTTTTTCCTTGGAGAAAGAGTGTCGTCTCTGCCCTGAGACCTCATTTTTGACACATGCATGTTCAAAAGGACATTAAACACAAGAGATATATCTGTTACAATCTGAAAGTCTAGTGAGCACTACATTAAAATGGGTCTCTGGGGAGCTATGCTGCTCAACATGGTAGCTCTATATACTCACAGTATACTCTCTCTGGTTGGTCAGATAATGAGTCACAAGGCTTCACCAGTGGCTTAGAGTTTGCGGTGCGACAGACACAAGACTGGCTACATACATGCTTATTATGTACATCAGTACATAACAAGCATGTATAATTATAGCAATTGTGCGATTTGGAGCCCCTAGTAGGAAAGAGTAGAGACTTAACTCGCCTCTTTTCGTCATGCATACAGCGTGGCTTTTGACACTGTAGAGTGCAAACTTCATTCTGAAATTAGTGGTACATGCCCTGCATGCCACCTTTGATGCATCACTATACAAGTTCAGTATTATAATTTTACAACATTATAGTCTGGTGGTAGAATTGGATATCAGCAGAGTTTAGCAATCAGAGTCTTCAGCCAGGCCATGAGCATTGAGAAGAACAGAGCCACTCTTAGCCTTGCCGCTCCCTGGTCTCACAGAGGAGAGCTTTCTCCTGGAGGAGGTTGGTGAGTTGGGGGAAAGAGCCTTGCCACGAGGGAGAGACCCGCCAGAGTTACTGCTAGTGGATCGAGGAAGCAGAGTGTCCGTGTCAGTTTCAGTCTCGCAGGGAGAAGAATCGTGAAGGGAATCACGTGAGGGAGGAGGGGGACTAGAATCTGCTCTCTCTCGAGGGATTAGGAGATCGTTCGAGCCATCATGTGCGTAGGAGTCGCTTGCAGGGATGGCAGCAGTGGTGGTAGTATTGTTGGGGAGAGGGGAAGTGCGTGGGGAGTGGGACTTGTGAGGAGGGGAGAGGGTGAGGGGTGGGAAGTGGCGGATGGTAAGGGAGGGAGAAGAAATAGGTGAGGCAGAGCGAGAGGAGGGTCGTGGGGATGGTGGTGGGGGGAGAATCAAAGATGACACGGAAGTAATTGACGCCTCTTTAGTGTCTAGTTTGTGCCTCTCGCCCGATTCCAAGTGTACCTCTGCTTCAATAGTGACCGTTGCATGTGACTTAGGAGTAAGAGCCATCTCATTGGCGGTCACAATGCACCCCTCTGTTTTTCTTTCCTCCATTGGGCTGACGGCATCAAAATCTTCAACGTCTGCTTGGAACTCTGAACTAGTGAACTTGCTGTCATCCCTCAACTGTGAAAGAGGAGGATTCCTTGATTGTTTCTCTGCCGGCGGCTTTCTAGCCTTTCGTACTCGTCTAGGTGAGGCCTCAACTGGTGGGCTAGTTAGTGGAGAGAGAGCAGGTTGCTGACTGCCTACGGTCTTTCTACCTGCAGTTCTTTTTGGTTGGAAGCTAGTAGAGGTTTGAGAAGTTCGCTTCGAAGCAGTGACACCGTCAGTGGACGAGACACTTCCCTTAGCAGATGTTTCACCTGCTGAGGCACGGGCTGGCCGCTTCTTCAAATCCTCACCTTTCATTACCACCACTGTCCTCTTGCTTCTACTCTCCTCCGGTGAAGGATTGGAAAACTTCAGAAAGTTTGGCCGTGCATCCGAACGCTTTTTTCCTTTCCTCGCATTCCCCGTGCCACCCTCTTCCCCAATGCTGGGGAGAGAGTGTTGGTACGAGAGCCTTCTTTTCGGGTGTCTTGGAGGACGCGAGTGCTCTAAGATGGTTGAGGCTCGTTTGAACTTGCTGTGTGAACTCGGAGACTTCAGTTCATCTTTGTAGCTGGTGAGGAGGTCGTTCTTGCTCCTGGCAGTTTGGCTCTGCCCATGTCTCCTCAGAGACTGGCACTTGTCTATGCAGTTTCTGAAGGCCTGCAGCTGCACTGGACTCTCCACCTTGACACTCCTTTCAACTTCACTTAGCTGGAAAAAGAGTGCAGTTTGTAAGTATGTAGTACAGTGGAACCTCTGAAAAAAGGGACCATGAAGTTTATAAAGAGGTTTCCTTTTACTCTGAGGTTACACTATTTACAACAGAGGAACCCCTCTAATTCAAACATAAATGGGTGTTCATATTAGTGAGGTGTCCTTATTCAAGGGGTTAAAAGGCATGCAATAATTGTTCTTGGGAAAGAAAAGTGTCCTTTTAGTACAGAGGTATCCTCGTGTTATTAGAAGGGTTATCCCTAATTATCGGCTGAAGGTCTATTATAAAACTGCATTATTGTTGGGGCTCACCAGTGACTCAAGCTGTCCCAGGAGTGGCCAAATAAAGGAGAAGAGAGGGATGTGATGGACACAGAGAAGACCCTCGTACACGTGAGTCAAGAGTGCCTTGTAATAGGCAAGGTAGGAGTCAAAATTAGACTGACCTGCATTGGGGACACATCGTGTAATACACTGTATAAGTGGAAATAATTATTGGCGGCCATTGATTTGCCAACAGGCTGTATTATCTTAGCCAAAGTGTTATGGCACAAAGCAGCTAAATATTTTTGCATATTTAAATTCTGTGTGACTGTCTAGACAGCGATTCCGTGAAAACTACGGACAAGGCTCTTGCGTTGTGGCGTTCTTCACGCAAAGGACCCGAGGGCTTCTAACGCGTGTAAATTTCAACGGACGAGATATTTAGTACGTACCTTCAGTTGACGGTTTGTACGTGTGCGCGGGTTGCACAGGGAAACGGCACCGAAGGCACGCGGTAGGCGCCGCGGGCACTAATTGCAACTTACAAATGAGTGAGTGCATACTAAGGTGATCCACAGTATATACGGTACCTGAAACGGAGGTGTGACGCGAGGATCGACTGCTAGTTGAACTAAGAAGAGACGAAGAAGATCCAGTTTTCTCATCTGACTCGTGAGGCTTGCTCGGCCGCAGACCCTCTAGTCTCCTGAGTGAGAGAGACATGATCCACTGAGCCACCCCTGACCAGTCCATGAGTCTGAAAGACTCGGAGAATGCACAGCAGAACACCTTGATGGCTGCAGCAGAAGAGAGACAGTGAGTGAGGTTAGGGTTAAAGCCTTGTGTAATACAGCAAAACTTCCTTTTAAAAAACACCCTCTGAAAAAAGGAGTCTTTGTCCCACCCCACATTAGATAAAGGGACACCTCTGAGTAAAGGACACGTCAATTCCCCAAGATACCCCTTATTCAGAAGATTCAGTGTAGATGATGCCATAGTGTAACTATGCCAGTGTGGTTCAGTAAACATGTAGGGATGTCTTCTGCGCTTACCACTAATGCAATGGTCATGTTTTAGATGTCAGTTTTATACATCACCATCTGTCTTTCCCACTATAAAAATAGCTATTATAGTCCAAAACTCAGAAGGACTTGGGATTTGAAAATGTGGAGATAATAGACATGTATGGTTTTAACAGTCAGTGTAGCTGAGGTAGTTCTTCTAGGCAGAAATATCTATCACTGCTGTTTTTCTGCCCCAAGAGTGTGGGAAGAAGTGACAAACCTCTGCAGAACATGTCGGCTGGGATCTCGGTACGAGACAGGTCCATGAAATGGCTTGGATGGAGAGGAGGACGACTCAACTTCAGAATGTTCTCGACTTTCTTGTCGAGCAGCTGGAGGAGAAACTCTAGGTCCTGCTCTGGGAGCCTCTCCAGATCCTCTGTAGCATCAACAGACAGAGTTAGGGTATAGCTGCATTTGTAGGGAGAGTTTACTTACCTCTGAGGCCAAGGTGGATACAGAGGGGAAGAAGAATCTTTGGGAAAATGGTGTCCTTTATCACAAGCTTCGGTGAGAGAAGATCAGACAGATGATACCTGCAAATTCAAATACTGAAGCCACTGTCCGTGGTGTATACTTTAAGGGTACGCTCACTGAAGTCTAGGATTGGGAGCGTCTTTGGTTGTCACCATGAGCTGCGATATTAGCTTAACGACGGCCTCTGTAAAGCCTGGGGGAGCAAAATGCAGCAGTGGTCTTCTTCGTCCTACGTTGCCACCTTGGCTAGGCGAGCCGTCCTGGCCCCCTCCCCCTCCTCTTTCTTGAGCTGGTGCACGCACAATGACTTCCAGCAGCATCTGTGGAAGATCAACAATTACGTAAACGACAGTGTCAAATTAATACAAGAATGAATGCAAAACGTTTATCTGCGAGTGCACATCTTGACGCATGTGTGAAATTCAGAGGTTTCACTCGTGTTTAACAGCACAAAACATTACTGTATGTGCAGTGCCAGTCACATAACACAACTCATATGAGTAGTTTTACTAGCCAATAATTATAGAACTACCTTTAGTTTGACAAATATTTGTTCTTGAGCAGCAAGGCGATCACATGACTTGATACATTGTGTGATACCTGTACACGAAAGAGGGAGAGAGGGACGTATTAGAGCGTCATATAGGGATGCTATCAGCCTCATTTTGAAGTTTAGACATACTTGTAGATTTACAAAGATTGTGTGTTGTAGATTTGAGGCATGTTGGTTATTCAGTGGATAGAACTCTGTGCCTAGACGGCAAATTTGGCGCATTTGAATCCTACCACGGACAGCTCGAGTTGTCCTGGGTATAGATTGTACTAGCTTTCCCTTACAACGTTTTTGGAGTTGGTCATCTTTGGTGATTTAACTACCCCAGGCTGCCTGTACTTGAAAGTGTACTGTGTCACTGCAGCTTGCTTTAGGCTAGGTTTACAATATGTTGCTTGCCCCCATTGTACTGTACCACGTTGCTGCATGCATCGCGAATCCATTCTCATCTTCGTGGTAGGGTGCGATGCGGCACAGTGTGACAGGGCAATGTGACGTATTGTGAACCTAGCCTTAGCGTTGTAGAGTTGAACTCCTGCCTGCTTCAATGGGCAGAGTGCTCTGCGTACATGGCCGAGTGGGATGTTTTTTGTTTGAATCTCACCAAGGGCAGCTTTTTAGTTGGAGTTGTATTGGGTGTAGTTGCTTTGCTTTGCTTTGCTTTCATGCATGTAAGAACATCCTGGTTGGGATGAGTATTTGAGCCTCATGTTCCAACCACAGAAGCACAACGAATGAACAGGGCCAT